CCATGGCGGACCGCCTCCAACTTGGGCCGCGTCACCGATCAACGATGCAGCGCGACCCGCCGACCCCATATACTCCGACTCCCACGTGGGCGGACTTCAGTGGGAGCTTCCCGTGCCCCACCGCGGCCACTGTGGATCAAAAGCGCAGAGGACCCGACGCCCAATCCGACAGTCTTCCCCACGCCCTATCCGACGCTTTGCCCGGCGCCTTGCCCGATTCCGTCCCCGACCCCGTCTCCGACCCTGCCCCCGACACCCTTCCCGACGCCTTTTCCGACCTCCTCCCCGACGCCCTACCCGACTGCTTCCGCGACGCCTCTCACGACTTCACAGCCCGACGACCAGTCCGACGCATCCGCCGAGTTGGCCGTTGGCCGACGCCACATCCGACGAGTGCTCCTGCGGCTCCCAACGCGGGCCAAACCAGCGTGGCAGCCACTGGCGACCCCCACTTTCAAAACGTTCACAGCGAGCGTTTCGACTTGATAAAACTGGGCGAGCATGTTATGATAAACGTTCTTCGTGGAATCAATGTTGAAGGCGTATTGCTTCGCGTGCAAGCCAATGCGCGCGGACTGGGTGGACATTGTGCGGATATGTATTTTCAAATATTGAACGTCACAGGGTCTTGGGCAGAGCCCAAACAATCTGGAGGGTATTATTGTTTCCGCGCATTGCAAAGCGCCGTCGAGACCCCACAATGGATTGCGTTTGGTCCAGTCCAGCTGGAAGTCGCCCATTGACGCACCGATTGTGGTTGCCAGTATTTGAATATGTTCGCGAAGCAGCTAGGGCGAGCGGGGTTTGTTGTCAGAGGTCTACTGGGGGAGAGCGACCACGAAGGTGTGAGTTCTCCTACGGATGACTTTGATAAGCGTACAGAGCTTTCTGCGCTTGTAGAATTGATGGGACGTAGTCATTGTAAGGCGTCATTTGCGCACGCATCCTTCGCCTGATCGTGTCGGTATTCCTCTGTGGGGGGAGAGGAGGTGACGTTCGGCGGATGGGAGGAGAAGGCCATGCTAAGCTAGACCTGTACTCCCTCTCTCTCTCTCTCTCTCTCCCTCTCCCTCTCCCTCCCTCTCGCCCCGAGCGGGCAAGCAGGGCAAACAGGGCAAAAGTGTGTCCTGGGCTTGCTCTTGCTCTGATCCCCGTTTCGTTGCCGTCGCCGTCTGCGGTAAACAGCTGTCGCAATTGACGTGCCAGCTCCCGCTGTGCTCAGAATGGATGGCTGTAACTATTATAAGTTGTGGCTTCTGTCACGTGCGATAGTACTGCAGAGCTGTCTAAAGACCTTCCTGTTGACGTTTCAAAACAAGAAAAGGGAAGGCTTCTGAGAAGTCCCGCCGCCTTTTGAGAGGTTTTCCTCTTCTCATTTCCCCCTCGCGCGCTGCCGAGTAGAGTAACATTCTGAGAGGGAGCTTCAAGAACCAACTCCAAATGCCGAAGAATTGTCGACGACATGAGCATGATTATTCGGGGGTCCTCGTGGATGTCTTTGATGGGAGCTGTACTCCCCTGACGGCGCCGCTCATGGCGTGCTCCGCGCGCCAGGGAGGGGGGTCCATCGCCGATCCAAGAACCCCGAGTGGACCGCCGGAAATTTCATGGTTATCAATTTGTTGTTGTTTCTTAGTATTCTTCTTACTGATATTACGAGGCAGCGGTATGGCTGGTACTGCTGGAGAGGGCCGCGTGACGTGCTATGCGTCTGGCCACGGGTGAGCAGGGACCACGCTTGGCGACCCCAGAGGGGGGGAGCCACAAAGGCGGGTCACCAGGCGAGAAGGACCACGGGCCACGGGCGGAAGAGCGAGGTCGTCAGTGTCCATTCTGGTCTGATCGATCCGGTTCGATGTCGATCTCGGCCAGACCCGGTCCGAGTCGATTCCGGCGATCTGGCGATCTTACGCGGCCTGGTGCTTGCATGGTGTTGCTGTCCTGCTATCCTGGCGCGGCCGATCCGATTAGACTCTGACTCCGTGCAGATGCGACCCCAGTCGATGCACATTCCTGTTCGATCCGAGTTCCCGTTGCAGGAACGACCGAGGATCAATCAACATCGAATCGGGAAAGTCACACTTCGATGCTGATTGATCCTGGGCAGTTCATTGCGGCCCTACAGTGCAGCTGGCACGAGGGCTGGAGAGTTCGAGTACAGCCCAAGCTCTGGAAGGGCACCGTTGCGCCCTTCGTGTCTGAGCTCTCCGCCCAAGCACGCTCCTCGTCTGTGGGGGCTGGGAGCCATGAGACGGGGGTCAATGCAAACGGGGGTCAGCCAGAGCGCCCGACCTTACAGGATCCTGCAGGGCCGGGGTCGCATTGACCCGAGTTTGGGAGCAGGATCCTGCAGGGTCCTGCAGGATCCTTCGCACTGACCCAGGTTTGGGTGCAGGATTTGGCAGGATGTTGCAGGATCCTGCAGGGCCTGACTGACCCGGGTCTGGATTGACCCGGGCCAGAAGATTCCCGAGGGGGGTCCTCCACGGGGCCCGTGTGCTCTCGGCTTCACGATCTGAGCGCCCTGCCCCTTCCCGGGTCCCCCCGCCGCGGCTGACCTCCCCTCCTGCAGCAGTGGTCGCCTCCAGGGTGCCACTCTTTCGACGCGCAGCCCGTTCGGGCCGCCCCGCGCGGGGAGCGACCGCCCACGCCGCGACCATACATCGGGCACCGTCGGCGACGTAGCTCGTTCTCTCGCCATCGTTGATGGGCCTGTTTTCCACCTCCATCAGCATAAGTTGGAGGCGGGCAAGGAGGTGGAGGATGAGGAGGTGGAGGATGATGAGGATGATGATGATGATGATGAGGAGGAGGAGGAGGAGGAGGAGGAGGAGGAGGAGGAGGAGGACCCCCTCCCCGTCCTATTTCTGGTGGTGGTGGTTTGAAAACAAGCCCACCACTCGTGTCAAGGGAGGGAGAGCCACACAGACCCTGACGCTTGACTGCGCGGCCCTGGGCGTTTGCCAGATCTCCCTGCCCTGTTCGATGCCCTCCCTGGGCGCGCGTACCGAACGGCTCCGCTCGTCGGGGTGCTTCCTCTGGGGGTGGAGTTTCTGCCCCCTATCGTGGCCGCGCTGGTGCCGTGAGGCAGCGAAGGTGGCCTCGAGGCACGCCGCGACCTGGCCGCGGGCGCGAGGCGCAGGGTGCCCTGCGGGCCCCGCGCCTGAGCAGCGCCGTCTCTCGCGAACATCACCAAGTTTTCAAGTTTCCAAGTCATTGTGAGGACGATTACAGTTCAAATCTCAAATTCCAAATGGCTCAAATTTCCAAGGTCCAAGATTATTTGACGATTTTTGGTGCAAAAGGAAACTCAGGACCCCTACGTTACAACCCTAAGTTGTTCGCCCCCTTTCTCTTGGATTGTCGCTGGTGCCCGCCTGGAGGCGCCTCGGGGCCGCGCCCCTGGCGTGCTCCGCGCGCCCTGTAAGGAGGTCCAGCGCTGATCCAAGAAGTGCGCGCGGACCTCCGAATGTTCATGTCTATGGCATGCTCTCTGCCTCCTGGGCACCGGATGGCACGGAAGCGTCAGCCAGGGTCTCTGTGGGTCGGTCGGTTCGGCCTTCGCCGCAGTCGGCTGCTGTTCGGTCGGTTCGGCTCGGTCCTCTTGCTGTGTCGCCGCCGCGCCTCTGCGCTCCTTCTGGGCTCCAGGCTGCTTGCAGCCTGTCGTTTTCGGTCGGTTTCGGTTCCAATTGTCAGTTCGGCCGTGCGTACATACTTCTGATTTGAGCATCGGCACGCCTGCCCAACCCAGAGTCTGGAACCGTGCACGGGAACGAAGGTGAAGCCCCGTGATCTGGCGAGAGAGCTCGAGCACGAAGACGAGGAAGCGGAATGGGAATATGAAATATGCATGATGGAGGGGAGCGACAGATTTCAAAGATGAGAATTGCAGCAAGGAGTTCTGTGTGTGTGTTGCCTACTTGCCTCTCTCTCATTCCGCCCGAAGGTGCACATTAAAGGACCAAGGTGCATGGCGCGAAGCGCCAATGCATACATGTTTGCGTTGTCATTATTGTTATGTGTGCTTTTGTTGTCGCTGTTTTGGTGCCGCTGCTGCAGGGACCTGCTTCATAAATGGCAGCCCTGCGTGCACTTCCAACCCTCGTGCACGGCAAGCATGCAGGATCAGGAATGAAGTGATGCTGATGGCGATGATGATGAAGGCGAAGAGGAGGAGGAGGAGGAGGAGGAGTTGGAAGAGGAGGAGGAGGAGGAGAAGCAAGAGGCTGCGGGAAAAGGAGCAGTAGGATAACGAGCAAACAGGAGACGGAGGGGGGTGAGACGGGGGAGAGACAGTAGACATGCGGACGCCCCAAAACGCATGCACGATTTTAGCAACTACGCACAAATTTTGGCACGACAGGGCACCAGTCTCGCTTTCCATGTCTGTTTTCTCGAAACGTGCGGCGAACTTGGTTGCACCCAAAGTGCTATGGGCAAGGCTCAGCGGCACTCTGAACCGTACGCGAGTCCCGCGCGTCATGCTCTTACCTGCGTTCTCGATGCCAGATTTCTGTGGTCCGAGCTGGTATCGGCCGCCCAGTTCACTGTTCCAAGTCTGCCTGGCGCAACATCCAGTCTTAAACTTTTGCACATCCCCCCTAGAATAGCCTCTGGGCGGGACAAAGACACTCGCAGACGGCAGCTGCATACCATCACCCCTACCCAGGGCCATCCAGTGCTCTGGGATGGTGTACAGACAATGCAAATCGAGTCGGGAAACAATCCCAGGGCTCTGGGAGGCCTTGGTCAGGCACGGTGGTGGTGATGGTGGTGAACACCTACAGTGGAGGCCCATGCCAAGAAACACCCTGCTTACCTCCAGGGTGCCCTGGGTTTCTTGGGTCTCGATGGTTTTGCTCTGGAAGGCGCGACGTTCCCACACCAAAAATCAAGAGACGCCCTGGGGTCTCAGGGTTGGGTTGCTTGTGGAAGGTTTCTTGTGGACTGGCCTCCACTGTAAGATATGTCAACAAAAGAGCGTGCACCGGCCGCCCAAGGAGAAGGCTTCCTGGGACGACCGTGCCAAGGAACATCCTGATCACCATGGGGGCAAGGGAGGCCGCCCCAAAGGCTTGCCGCTTGCACTATCCCATGGGGCCAGAACCTGCTTTTCTACCAGTCTCTGGCCAGCATCGTGGTCTCTCGTGATCTGATCCCTTGTTCCTTACAATTGGCAGCGTCCCAGCTTTCTTTGAAGCGTTTGGCTTGGAGGTTGGGAGAAGAGGATGAGTACTCTGAGAATGTGCGCACAGTTCTGCAATTCGCGTCAGGTTTGAGCTTCATCGTGCCACGCATGGTGCTGGTTGACCCTTGGGCACTCCAGGCCGTAAATTTGGCCTCTTCGATAAACAATGCCAACATTGCGAGTGCTATCGTGGGACATTGGCTTTGGCTTCCTCTCATCTTCCGCCCCCCCTTGTCTCCGCAGGGAAAGGCGGCTGGAAGAAGGGTGACGCCAGCAAGGGGACCCGCATCTTGCTGCGCTGTGTGCACCAGCAGTGATCAATCGGCAGCATCTCACCCAGCATGGGACCCCACCCTGTGCTCAAGCATCGAGTGGCGTCCTGAGCCATAGTACTGCGTGTTGATCGGATTTGAGTCTTGCGAGTCGCAGCGTATCCCTGCCTTGTTAGTAATGCCTATGTGGCCAAACGGTGGTACAAAGCATGGTTACGTGAGCTATTGGCCTTCGTCTCACAAGCGGTTGCGGCAACACTAGGGGAACAGGGGTGGTACGTTGTCCTCAGTGGTTTGACCTCTTGGGGCAAACTCTTGGCATCTCGGTCCTGCAATCTTGTCTTCGATGTGGATGGGGCTGTCTTGACGGCCTTGAGATCAATGTTTGGTTGTTTTGGGGCTTTGTGGAGGGCCTCGAAACCAGTCTATACTGTGGCCCCTTTGGTGGAACCCCCGTCCTCCAATCTTCCCCTAGCTTCTCCTCCTCCTTCTCCTCCTCTTGCTCCTCCTCCCCCTCTTGCCTCTCTTCCTGCCCCTCCTCCTTATCCTCCTCCCCTCCTCCGGCTGCCCCTCCTCCTCCTTTTCCTCCTCCCCTTGCCCATCATCCTCCTCCTCTGGCTCTTGCCCTCCTCCTTGCCGGGACGCCAAGGAGGCGCACAGCCGCACCACCACCACCACTTCCGCACCGGAACCCAACAGCTGACCAGAACAACCGCCACCACGACACCAAGCTTACTGGCCTGCACGACTCCAGCGACTCCGACGTACGCAGCGATCCAACCACCGACCAGCCCAATGTGCAAGACAGCGTCAGTGATGACGAGGACACGCAGTCGGACATCAGGCGAGTTGATGATTTGGAGTTGTGGTGCGATTTCATCCACAGTAGCACAAGGAACGCGGAAGAACTGATCTTCAAGCATGACACACCATATGCATTGAGCAATGAGCGCAGAATTGTGTGGCGATTGTCGAAGATTGTGGCCCACCACCACCACCGCCCGACACGTTGTACGCGGCGAGTGATCGATTGGAAGTCTAATCTTAATGCACATCAGCGATGATGCCGGCAATATGGAGGGCAGCCAAAACGGTGGGACGACGATCGGTTTGCCGCGACCCTGGATCCACGCGGGGAACAGCTGGGACTACGGGCGCGACCCCCCCTCTGTACACTTCACCAGCGGCTTGTCACTCTACAGGCTCACAAACATCAGCGGCGGTTAGCGGCGACCCTGGAGGACCACAACGCGACCCTGGATGCACGCGGGGGGCTGCCGAGGCTACGGGCCCGGGGCCTTCCACGGGGGCTCGAGGTACTCTTGCAGCCCGGTGCTGGCGGCCAAGGGCCGTCACTCGCCACCCCCCCGTGCACGCTCCGTCTTCACTCCACCCAGGGCACGCCACCCCCCGTCCGCCCCCCGTTCACGCTCGGCGTTTGCCGCGTCCCCGGGTCCATGCGGGGGGCTGCAGAGGCTTCGAGCACGAGGTGCGAAGTGTGAGCTGGACGTTGTGAGCTACAGCGCTGGGAGCAGCGCGTGCGCCAGGGGTGAACAATGGCAACTCGCACTGTCGCTGCTCAGCGGGTGTCAGAGGTTGACTTGGGGCGCAACGTTGTCAGCTACGACGCTGGAATCAGCGTGTCAGGAAAACGGGGAATGGCAACATGCTCCGGCGCGTTTTGGGAAGCTAAGTTGGAGCCCGCTGTCATCAGTTGCAGCGCTGGGATCAGGTGCGAGAAGAATGGCACTGGCAGCAGGCCCTGTCCCAGCAAAATGCGGCAGGCGGCATTGGGGCCCAACGTGATCAGTTACAGCAGTGGGATCAGAGTGTGCGTGAAGGGCGGACAATGGCAGCAGGCACTGTCCCAGCTCGGCGGGCGTTGTGCCGCGAGGTCGGAGACGAACGCCATCGGTGCAACGTCGCGATCAGCACGTGCGAGACAGGCGGCCAGTGGCAGCAGGCATTGTCGCTGCTCAGCGAGAGTCGAGGGGCGAAATCTGGCCCGACGTCATCAGGTACATCGCTGACAGTAGCACGCGGCCTCAGGCTCCACGTCCGCTCCGCGAGTGTCCAACACGAAGCTGGAGTCCAACATAATCAGTTTCATCGCTGGGGTCGGGCGTGCGAGAAAGGCGGGCAGTGGCATCGGCTGTCGCTGCGCAGCGAGTGGTGGAAGGCGACGCTGCAGCCAGACGCTGCAGCTACATTCCCGAGGTCAGCGCGCGTGGGAAGGTCGGGCAGTGGGCGCCGGCCCAGTCGCTCCTCAGCGAATGCGACGGGCAAAGTTTGAACCAGACGTCATCAGCTACAGCGCTGGGTCAGCACTCAGCGCAGCCCGAGGTCCGCGGAGAGGCCCCCACCTGTCCCTTGGCGCCATGACCTTCGAAGGACCCATCCAAATTTCACAGCCCTGAGCGGCGATCAGCTGCGACCCTGGAGGGCCAACCGCTTCCCCTATCCCATGGGTGCGGGGGCCTGACCGAGGGGGGGGGCGGCTTCCCCCCCGCCACTCTCCTTGGGCCTGGCGGGTGTCTCAGCGCGCGTGGCGGAGGCTGGAAGTGGCGTCGCACGCTGCTCTTACGCCGGGGACGGTGGCAAGCCTTTCCTCGCCGCCAGGCAGGCGGGGGGGGCGCTGTGGCCCACTTCCTGCCCCTGGGCAGGAAGTGGGCCTCAGCCCCCCCCCCCCCCCCCTGTCTGCCTGGCGGCGAGCGCGACCTTGCCATGTCACCTTTCTGTCAAATACAGACTCATGCGACGATCAGCTGCGACCCCCGAGGACCAACCACCCCCGCTGTCTTGTCACACTGCAGATTCACATCGGCTGCGGCTCGCTGCGACCCTGGAGGTCCAACAATCGGAGACACCAACCATCAGATAGAGATCACAGCGGCGATCAGCTGCGACCCCCGAGGACATGAAAGAGAGATCATAGCGGCGATCAGCTGCGACCCCCGAGAATGGCCATGGCCCCTGACCCACGGATTCGGGGCCAGGCTGAGGGGGGAGGCGTTGCTTCCCCATCGCCTCTCCCCTCTCGGGCCAGGCGTGTGTCCCCCGCACTTGGCCCCGGGGCCCGCCTGACGTACTGCAGACGTCGGCGTGGTTGCCCCCTCCCAGGGCCGCCCGTGTTCCTCGCTGCCCGTGGTCTGGCGCATCGCTCTCAGGGGCGGCTAGCTGCGGCCCTGGAGGACCACGTGGTGTGCGTTGGCGTTTCCCGGCTCTTGGGCGGAAGTGCTGAGCGGCGGACTGGGTCAGACTTTGCCCCCTGGCCCTCGCGTCTACCACAGTCCAGCTCCCCCAGGCGCATCGCCCTATGACATCGGCTCGCCCCCTCGCACAGGCGCCACTCGCCTAAGGGCATCGGTGCGCCTTGCTCGCGCAGACGCCACGTGCCTCGGGAGGCACAGCCAGGTCTGTTCACTCGGGGATACGCTCGCCCCCGGTTCAGTTTGGCGTCCTCCAGAAGGCAGCACTACCACCAGTGCCGCCCCCCCATTACTCTCCCCGCTGGCGATGCTCACCACGCCAGCGGGTCTTCCCCCCCTCACTCTGAGGCCCGACGCCGTGCTGGCTTGCACTGCGTGGCCCACAGTCGCTTGGTTCCCCCTTGCACTGCGGGGTGGTCTGACGGTTGGTGGCATCGCCACGGAGTGGTTCAGCCTTCCGCAGCAGCTCCAGCACCCCAGGCTCACCACCAGCTTCCAGCAGGTTGCGTTACATCACGTTCCGCGACAGCTCAGTCCCCCTTGCTAGCACACGTCGTCTAGGGCGTTTGGAGCCTGGCGCCCCACCGGCGACTCACTCCACAGGCCTTGCACTCGCCCCCACTTAGACTGACGGACTTGGTTATCCTGGTTCACGTCTCATACTGTGGCAGGCACCGAATTCCATGACATTTTGTCTGCGCACGTGTTCGAGCTCTCAGGACACCCTTCCGTCAGCTCCCCTTCAGCTTCGCGGCTGTTTTGTGAGCGGGCTGGCCGGCCTGTGCCTTTGTAGCTAATTCGCCTCGTTCGTGCCCTGGACCCTGCTTTCGCCGCCTGGCCCTTGTCTCGTGGCCGCGACCAAAAAGTAACTCCAACAGCCCACCCAGAAACGAGTCCCAGAAGAGTTGCCCTGAATAGGGATGTGGAGGAGACTGCAGTGGTATGAAGGGCTGGGTAAGACGTCGTACCCCTAGTGGGGCAGGATGGAGGAGGACCAAGAGGAGGAGGAGGAGGAGCAGGAGGAGGGGTGAGGGAGAGGAGGAGGAGGAGAACCAGGGTAAACCCAAGAGTCATCAACGATGTTGGAATCAATCCTCCCTCCAAGCTCCCTCTTCATATGCCACAAGGGTTCATTTCCACTGAGGAAGCTGCCTCGTTGGAAGGCAGCCGTTTGAAGACCCTGGCGCATGCTAGAACATCGTTCTCGTTGCTTTAACGCTACCGACCAACCTGACATTTGCTTCTTGACGATCCTGAATCGTGCCAGGACGATTCTTTGGACGTCAACACCGCGAATCAGCGTAATTGCTGTGCCCCGGAATCCTTCCAAAACGCAGTTCCTGGTGCGCTGATAGCGGGAGTCCGTGCAACTCTTTGCAATGTTCGCAACGAGCGCGCGCAGCTCCAAGGCGAGATCCACATTTTGAAAATGGGTCGCCCTCAAGCCGTGAACAACAACCTTGCAATTTTCAAAACGAATGTGCGCGGGGGGCGCTAAAGCGATAGCCACCTTTTGAACATGGGCCCCCATCAAGCCGTGAAGCCCTTGCAACGTTGTAAAACGAATGTGCGCGGCGCTAAGGCGAGCGCCACATTTTGAAAACCACCCGCCCTCAATCCGTAAAGTGGTTGTCAATGTTCAAGCTTCAGGGTCATAGGTGGTGGGGAAGTCTCAGGCGAAACGCCTGGACCGCCATACAAATGGACTCGGGGTGCGACAGGGAACAGTTATTTATAAGGGAAATGGAGGAGGAGGGGCGAGGAGGGACGACGAGGAGGAGGAGACGGAGGAGGGAGAG